TTCACTGGGTTGTATCAGTGATGAAGATGAAACATGATAGAGATGAAACAGGATGTAAGTAAAACATGATATATGTGAAATGCGATAGATATGAAACACTGATGTAGATGAAACACATCAAGTGATGAGATCAGTCATACCGTTACAGGGTCAACGATGAATAGTTAGGAAAAGAAAAAGAACCCCCCCCTGACACTGTAACAAGAACAAGAACAAGAACAAGAACAAGAAAGACAAGAACTAGAGGAGCAGGATAATAATGATGAAGATAGATATTTTGGGGAGCTAGCAATTTCTTTCTCAACTACTGTTGCTGAGAAAAGAGAAGGGGAGCAAATTAGAAATATTATTGCTACTATGATGTGGAATGACTATCAACAGATTATTCAAGGATAGATACAATTATGGAGGCTCAGTTCTGAATTTCCTATATGCTGTATATAATTTTACAACTTGATATTCTTGCTTTTACTACATATCTGAATTTATATTTATATAAACACACATATATATATATACTCATACAACAGTTGTGTTGCTAGGCCTATATCTAGTGAACCAGCCATTCAAACATAGTACCTATGGGTACCATTGGAAGGCCTAGGATCTGGGCTATACAATAGACCCTACAAACACATAATTTAATTAGGTATTGACCAAGTTATTGATGAATTGTTACCCTAAACCCATTGCAACAGTTTTGCCCCCTGCATATTTGACTATAGAAATCTATTCTGCTTTGCCTGTAAAAAATATGTGGTGTGGGATGGTCATGTGATGATATATAAGTGTAAGGAGGATACAAACAACCCCAAACAGCCTCTTGTTCTTGACCACCATCATCATGAAAGTACTTTCTAATTGTTATGCGATGACTCACTGTGACTGCCTCTGTTAAGGGACCTGACGACTGAGGATCAGGAGTTCTACTTAAGACTACTACTGACAAAGGTACTGCTATGTGTAAGGCTGACACGCTATACTAGAACTAGACTTAGAGACTGAGCTACTGCAACTGGCAGCGGTTTGAGAATGTACACTGGTTAAAGCTACGCTTCAGACTGAGACTGGAATAGACAACTGAGTCTATTACTGAAGATGCCCCTATAAAGGTACGTAGGGAATAAGAGGACAAAACTAAAGTACAGTGGCACAAGTAGTGCTACTTAAATAGGGCAAAGCAAATAGAGTTTAATAGGTATGAAATCTGAGTTGGATCAGCGATGTACCATGAAACAGTTTCACTGGGTTGTATCAGTGATGAAGATGAAACATGATATAAGTGAAATACGATATATATATAAAACACTGATGCAGGTAAAACGCATCAAGTGATGGGATCAGGTGTATAGTACAGGGTCAACAATGAATAGTTAGGAAAAGAAAAAGATCCCCTCCAGAAGCTGTAACAGCCTCCTAGATTCTAAACCTAACCCTAATTGTACTACTTACTGGCTTTGAGTTTTAGTAAAGGGCTTTAACACAGTTTACTGTAGAGGATGGCTTTAGATGAAGCAAGTGAATGACTATAACTAGTCTGGCCCTAACTGGTGCAGACCTACTGGCTTGTATACATGTAGGATAAGCCCCCCTAATACTGTAAGACAAGACCCCTGGTACTTGGACTAGCTATGCTATTGTCAAGGTATTGCCCTTGACCCTAAATCTAACTCTAACCCCAATACTCACTTGTAGTGATTTGAGTCTTACAAGAGGTAATCAAATAGATTGTCTTGGGAGTTGTTAACTCAGAGAGAGAGTAAGGCAAAGTAGATGAGGGTAGACTGAG